GCTCGGCAGGGAGTCTGCTTCTCCCTCTGACCCTTCCCCCTCTCATGTGCTCTCTCTGTCTCATTCTCTCTCTCTCAAATAAATAAATAAAATCTAAAAAAAAAAAAAAAAAATGTATTCAAGTGAAAAAAAAAATGTCTGCTTAAGATAAATATTAAATAATGGTGGGTCTGGAGTTTGGCAGGGGCATGGATGAGGACACAGCCCGAAATGGTGGTGTCCCAGGCACTGCCCGTGCACATAAAGGTCCCTCAGCGAAAACCTGCTGCCCCTCTGCTCCCATACCCTCTATGGCTCCCAACTGCCCTTGGGGAAAAGGCCCATTCCTCAGCTTGGTGTCCAAGGCCCCTGCCCCAGTCCCACCTGCCAGCTCTGCCCAGCTCGCCACCTTTATTTCTGCCCCGTCAACCTTGGCTGTTCTCTGAGCTCACGTTCCCTCCAGCCTCCTGGCCTTTGCCCGTGTTGCTCCCTCCAGCTGTAATCCTCTTCCTGGTTAACTCCTACCCACCCTGCATCTTCATGCCACGTCTTCCCAGAAGCCCACCCTGACTGCTCTCAGGATGCCGTGCTTGCAAGAGTGGGGACAACCATCCACCTTGTTCATGCTGGGTCTCCCGCTCCCAGCAAAGCGACAGACACACGCTCCATCAGTGTTCAGGCGCCCGACTTGAGGTGGCAGAGAAAGGGAGGTGACTCGGCCCTCCCCGTTTGGCGCGGGCGGACTCACCCATGACCTCCAGCTGCACGTGCATGAAGCTCTCGGCCTCATCCTGCAGGGAGCTGTGTGCTCGCAGTGGCACAGGCAGGAAGCCGTACGCCTCCTTGTTGCAGACATACATCTGGACCTCTGCGGCCGAGGGAACAACAACCCAACGTGAATACGGTAGAGGCAGCAGCGCCCCTCCCCCCCCAGCCCAGCCGCACCGCCCAGGGCGGGCTTGGAACCTCAACAGGTCCCCCTGCTCCCGGCACCCGGCACCCGGCAGCGACTCCTCAGCTCTCCAGCTGGGACCAGGAGCCAGAACAGGGGTTCGCGCTGGCAGGGAGGCCCGGAAAAACTCCAGAGCTGTTAACGAGAGCGCCTCGCATGGCCACCGCCTCAATCCCCCCAGGGGTTCCGCGGTTCCGCCGCACGGCCACCCCCACAACCGTACAAGAAGCCACCCTGAGGCAGGAACAGGAGATGCGGCTGAACCGGAGGGCAGGAATGGCACCCCCATCTGCATTTGCCCTTTTCGGGGTGGTTTAAGCTTTTGGGCGTATCTTTTTTTTTTTTTTTTAAGTAAAAAAACCCAGCGAAAAATGATTTTCACCTGAACTGGTTAACTTTTCTGTAAAGGGCCAGATGGTCAATATTTACGCTTGTGGGCCAGACAGTTCTGTCTCAATGACTCAGTTGCAGCTAGAAGGCAGAAGCAGCCAGAAATGAAACTTAAATGAATAGGCGTGGCTGCGAGCCGATGAAACTTTATTTATAGGCACTGAGATTCAAATTTTATACAATCTTCAGATGTCACAAAATGTTATTCTTCATTTTTTTTTCCATTCAGATGACCAAATATAGACTTCTCATATATATTTGGTCTTCGTCCACAGTTCCAGGCTCAGTTCCCAAAACTCTTGGAATTTCCTAGATGTTGGGAGCTTAAAGGTGTCTCTTACGTTAATAAGTGACTTTTGGAAAGCATTTAAAGAGGAACCTCCCTCCCCCAACACACACACTGGTTGCCAGCGGAATCAACCATGAATAGAGGGTTGGAACTTTCAGTCCTACCCCTCTGATCTCTGCGGAGAGGAGAGGAGCTAGAGGTTGGATTGCCAAGCGCCAATGATTCAATCAATCGTGTCTATGTAATGAAGCCTCCAAAGGAGGCTCCACCCAAAAGGATGGAGTTCAGGACGCTTCTGGGTTGGTGAACACGTGGAGTGTGGGGAGAGTAACATACCTGGAGCCTGGCGGGGGCAAGGAAGCTCTGCACCCCTTCCCACATACCTCACCCTAGGCATCTCTTCAACAGGCTGCTCCTGAGTTATATCCTTTTATACTACACCGAGTCATCTAGTGAGTAGATGGGTTTCCTGAATTCCGTGCACTGCTCTAGGAAATTAATGGAACCCAGGGAGAGCATCTTGGGAGCCTCGGATTTATAGCCAGTTGGTCAGAAGCACAATGAGAACATGGGTTTGTGGCCGGCATCTGAAGTTGCGGTGGGCGGCAGTCTTGTCGGACTGAGCCCTCCTCAACCTGTGGGATTTGATACTATCTCTGGAAAGATAGTGTCAGATTTGAGTTGAATTGGAGGACACCCTGCTTGTCCTACAGAGACAATGGCTTGTTGGTGTGGGGAAGCTTCCCCCCTCCCCCGACACACACTCATGATAGAATTAGGTCCAGGAACCCAAAAGACATACTTGGCTTGTGGCTATAGAAAAACAGATGGTGGGCCAGATTTGGCCCATGGGCCATTGTTTGCCGAACCATGGTTTAAAAAAAAAATGAGAGGTCAACTGTGGCTGGCTGTGTTCTCTTTCTCTTTAAAATGTTTCTTCCCTAACGGTACAAATAGGGAGTAATTATGCTCAGCTACAGAAAACTGGGAGAACACAGGAGAATATCAAGATGAAAATAACCTTCAATAAAGAGGTCTTAAAGATATGGGGAGTGAAGTGACCCGGCAAAGCCAAGGCTGGGGAGAAAGGGAGTCCTGGGGACATCACCTGAACACCTGGATACAGCCACACCTGTAGCCGTCCCTGCACCCTGCAGTTCTGGTTCTGCGAACCTTCTGTGGGCTCGACACTGGTCCCAGAGAGCCAGACAGATGCCCCCGTGCTGGCAAACTCCCTGTGGGCTCACCTGCTTGCTTGCAGGAGAAGGCAAAAACGATGATGTCGTCAAAGGACCACGTATAGTCAGGGTGAGGAGGGTAGAACGCCAAGTTCCTGGATGCCGCCTTCCGCAGGTCGATCAGGAAGGTTGAGTGCACCATGGGAACGGCAAAGCAGCCCCGGCGGTCCCGCTTGCGAATGGGGATGTAGGCAGGCGTGCGCTTGTAGTAGCCCTGCAGGGAGGAGGGCGCAGCTCTATATGGGGGACCCTAGAGGTAAGGCTGGAGGCCTGGGACAAGGGGAGGCACAGAACAGTTGGAGAGCGGGACCCAGATGCCAGCCTCTGGCTGTGGTGGGCTCCCCCTGAATGCAGAGCTCTGGGCGTGGTCAGGCCTCGTGTCCACCCCCGAAGCCTCAGGCGGTGGGGCAGGGGCAGATGGGGGAAGGTAAGCAGCTGTGCGCCCGCAGACCTAGCTCAACACTTCAAATCAGAAAGGAAGCACTTGAAGGAGGAAATGGGAAAGCTGAGAAAGGGACTGGATATTTGTGATTCCCTGACTTACACAGGATTGAACATCAGAAGTAGGACCTCAGGGAACTTGGGCTACGACATATTTTTTTAAATAGAAACCACTTAACTGTTCACTTTAAGATGGCGAGTTTTATGTTATGTGAATTGCACGTCAATTAAAAAGATAGGAGGAGACAGGAAGGGGGTCCTGGCTCTGGCTTGGCCCCCACTCCAGCACCTACTCTTTCACTCCTCCTGGTGTTGCCCACAATCCCAGCCTCAACCCTAGGGTGGGACTTATGACCCAGGCTTTGGCCAATCAGAACCTGGCATTTTCCTGGCTTCAGGAATTGGCTCAGGTGTAGGAGGAGACTAGACAAGGCCCAAAGTGGACTTTGGCTGGATGGTGATGGGATTGTGCCCCAGGAGTCTGAAAATGAAGCCCCACCCAAAGGATGGAGGAAGACAGGAATGTTGTTTGAACACCTGGATCAAGCTGTGCCTAAAGTCCTACCTGGCACCACGGCTTCCTAGCTGTGTGAGCTTAGGCAAGTCAAGTCCTCTCTCCCTGTATTTCTGTTTCTGCCGCAGTGACTGGGAAGGGGGTGGGGAGGAGAGGGCACAATCACAGACCCTCCATCAAGGAGCTATTTAAGGGGCGCCTGGGTGGCTCAGTCGTTGAGCGTCTGCCTTCGGCTCAGGTCATGATCACAGGGTCCTGGGATCAAGCCCCGCATCGGGCTCCCTGCTCTGCGGGGAGCCTGCTTCTCCCTCTCCCACTCCCCCTGCTTGTGTTCCCTCTCTCGCTGTGTCTCTCTCTGTCAAATAAATAAATAAAATCTTTAAAAAAAAAAAAAAAAAGGAGCTATTTAAGGATTATCACCATGGTGTTGTAAAGTGCTCACCATGAAGTGGTGTGGTAAGTTAGGCTCCAGCCACAGTCCCCACTCGCTCGCCCCCACCATCCCCCGCCCCCACCCTACCCCAGCAGCACCCTGACCTGGGAAGTCATCCCGCACCAGAAGTTGGAGTACGCGGCCCGCGAATCCAGCATGGGAGCCACCACTGTCTTATTCTCAGCGATGAGGAGACTTAGCGTGTTCGGGTTGAGGATCAGGTTGTCTGCATCCACAAACTGCAAAATACCCAACAGAGCATCAGCAGGGGCTACGGGACTGACCTGGGCTGGCCATAGCTCTGAACAGCTGGGGCGGAGGCCAGAGTCCTGGAGGGGAGGAGGGGGGCAGTCTGGGGATCCTGGAGTAGCAGATGTGGCCCTGGAAGCCAGCCGGTTCCGGTTCCTCCACGGCCGGCTCTCCCCCTAGTGACAAGCCAAGTAACGCTCACACAATGAAATGCACTCCGTAGCAAGAGAAGGGACAGACCACACGGCACAAAGCAACACAAATGGGGCCCAGACATGCCTCTGGGGGGGCACATGGAACATGATAGTGAGTGTACCATACAGAGCCATTTATGGGAACTTTTCAAACAGGCAGCGCCTGTCCATGAGTAGGACGGTGGAAGCAGAGGCCAATTCCTCGGGGAGTGGCTGGGAGGAAGGCACTTTGTCTAACGTGAATTACGTGCTGATAAAGAGCGTACGAATCAGATCTTTACGTAAGCCTTTTGTTTTCCTTTAGCGCCTTACATGTTGGGATAAAAAGATGGTAACTTGGGGCGCCTGGGTGGCTCAGATGGTTGAGCGTCTGCCTTCGGCTCAGGTCATGATCCCAGGGTTCTGGGATCGAGTCCCACATCGGGCTCCCTGCTGGGCGGGGAGCCTGCTTCTCCCTCTGCCTCTGCCTCTCTCTCTCTGACTTTCATGAATAAATAAATAAAACATTTAAAAAAAAAAAAAAAAAGATGGTAACTTGCTTGGTGCAGCATGGAATGAAATCCACCAACCCAGGAACAGGGTCACCATCGGGGGCTGGGGGGGGTTCCTGCTGGTCCCCCCCAAAACCACGTGTCACCAAGGAGGCTCACTGCAGTGCTGTTGGTCACACAAACTGGGGAACAACCCAGGAGTCTAGCAGTGGCGAATCAGCTAGAGAAGTTCCGGCCCCATCCCACTGCAGAGCGAGTCGAGGCAGCTAGGAATCGCGCCACGGAAAAGGATCAGGCGAGGGTGTCCCTGTGCACTGGGATGTGAAGACACGCAGGCCACGATGCATTACAGAACTCTTAGGAGGAACTCTTAGGATTGATTGATTTTTAAGTGCATCTGATCCACAGATACGCTTTCTGCCTCCCACGCAGGATTTTTAAAACCTTTAAATCACTTGCCACACACAACAGCGAGAACTAGAATTCCAGCCTTCTCTGGCAACTCCAGAATGGCATTCCCACAAGGCAACCCCCAGCTGGAGACGGAAGGTGGCTGTCCCTTGGGACAAGCCATGGGGCTGTTCCCTGCCTGGCCCCTGCGAACATTTATATGTGTGACCTTTGAATATATACACAATAAAAACACCCAGAACGGTCTGGCAGTTCCTCGAAGAGTTACACACAGAGCTACGTATGACTCAGCGATTCCACTCCTAGGTACACACCAAGACAACCAGAAACAGACATCTGCACACCCATGTTCACAGTGGCGGTGGCCACGAGAGCCAAACGGTGGAAATGACCCACGTGTCCATCAGTGGAAGAATGGATAAACAAAACGTGGTCCATCCACACAATGGAACATCACGCAGCCTTAAAAAGGAACAGAGCTCGGACACACAGCTACAACATGGATGAACCTTGAGACCATCGTGCTGAGTGAGAGAAGCCAGACAAGACATGGCACATAGCGTATGATTCACTTATGTGACTAGAAGAGGCGCATCTATGACAGAGAAAGCAGACTAGTGGCTGCCAGGGCCTGCGGGGGGGGAGGGCGGGGAGTGACTATTCATGGGGACGGGGCATCCTTTTGGGGCGATGGAAATGTTCTGGAACTAGAGTGAGGTTGTGGTTGTACAACATAATGAATGTACAAAATGCCACTGAGTTGTTCCCTTTGAAACAGTTAATTTTACGTTATGTGAACTGCACCTCAATTAGAAAACACGGAAACCAGCCAGAAAGTGAGTCTCTCCGGGAGGTAACATTACAGGGTTTGCTTGTTTTTCTTCCCTAAGTTTCTTATTTTTTCTTGTATATTTTCTTACAAGTAACACCTATAGCGTTTGCAAAAAGAGAAAAAAAGAGGTGCTTTTTTTCTTGTAAAAAGAGGTCTTTTTTTTTTTTTTTAAAGAATTCCTTTTAATAACAATTTTAAAACACTGGACAAATGATTTCACATCCCAATATGGACTTCCTAAGTCCCCAGTTACAAAAAGATACTGGTATGTCAAAAGCTGTTTTGAGTTTTGAACCAACATGTAGAGCTCCACCCAAGTTTACTGAGGGAAAAAAGTGAAAACCAGGGCGCCTGGGTGGCTCAGTTGGTTAAGCGACTGCCTTCGGCTCAGGTCATGATCCTGGAGTCCCAGGATCGAGTCC